ACAGTAAGACAACCAGATGTTGTTTCGTGTTTCAGATGTTCTGGTTTTCATCACATCGGCATGGTTTGTGGGTTTCTTCAATACATCATTTCTAACTGTGGTTTCCTGTTATTTATAGTTTAGTTAGATGTCACTTTTTTAATTCAATAATCGTGTTTCACTATGTACCTTCTAGTAAGGTTCATGTGAGGTAATATACCTGACTTCAGTATCATTATACAAATTTATTGCCATTTAAGAATAGAGTTAGCATCAATTTCCTACAAGGCAATTAAATGAACAAGCCCTTTGTTACAATGTTGTAAACACCACCAAATTGGAGTATTCATCATTCAGCAGGTGCTTGGCCTGTAATTGTTCTTGAGTCCAGTTCTGGTTTTTGGATTTTAATGTTTTTCTCATTATTCCGACCTGTTGAAAAATGGGATACTGGAGAGAAGGCAAAAAACACAATTTAAAAAAATGCTGGGACAATTGAAATGTTTTGGAGTAATGAGGTTGGGAGGATTTTTGTAGTCAAAAGGATGCAAAATGATAATGATCCAACAAGTTGCCAAAACCACTTATCATCAAGTACTTTAGTTGGTACATATGCTGCGGTTCTTTTTGCTATGTTTCAGCTGTCAGCATGATTTTGTTGGACAACGTAAAGAAAAAGGAATATATAGTGGAGTACTAGCACCAAACATAAAGTCTTGAGAATAGTCTGCTTGGCTGACATGGAATGTAATGGTTTGTAGAATGTAAGCTTGTTTGGGCAGGGCTCTCTTCGCCCTCTGTTCCAGTATGACAATCATGTTTTGTTAGAATGTAGTGTCTGTTTTGTTTACCTATTGTACAGAGTATGTTGGCGCTATATAAATAATTGTAATTGTAATAAGATATGGATTTAAATCCAATTAGAAAAGAACAATAGACATCCTTCTGGAATTAATTGGATCAATGCATCCTTTTTAATTCAGTTACTTTTATATTGTTTGATTATGTTTTTTAAGAAATAGATGAATTATGTTGCAAGAAACTGTTCCTTAGATTGTGATATATTCTACTGAAAATGCGATTGTACTTTTCTTCGCGCATCATTAGCAGTTACATTTTTTACTACAACAGTAAAAGTCATAATATTATCAAATCACAGATAAACAGAAATCCGAATTACAATAATTCTAACAACATATATTTCCCTTCATATAAAGGATAGAAAATGCCCTAAAATGATACATATATTAAACAATTTCTTCAATAGTTTTTTGTGTCATTCTGTAACCCTGTTTTGTTAGGGAATTTAGACATTTACACTTATTCACACACATACATACAAACTCACATTAATTTACACATATGCTCACACACTCACATTCATACACACATTTATATAAACACACGGACACAAACATTCACAAATACAGTTAATACAGCCATTCAAGAGATGAACAAGGAGTATTAAGAGACAAACTAGGAAGTAGGATCTAGAGACCAGGATATACCTGACAACTACAGGTTTTCTAATAGTCTTTTTATCTTTTCTTGTAAACTACATCTCCCGCAAAATATTGGATGAAACAAAGATGAATACTATTCTAATTAATTATTTTATTTAGCTATATTGATCACAATCCCATTATGTACACCTGTTCAAACAAATCAAGCTATCTCACCCATTAGAAATACAATAGGATGCATAGTTATACATAAGCCGGGATATTTCATTGGTTTCCATTATAAAGAGCTGTACTAGGACAAACATCTAAACATTACCAAGTAAACCAATAAATAATACATGATTTGAAAATATATTGACACCTCTATGCATTAGTAAACAGGAGTAGGAACTCCAGACCACCTCCACAGAGGAGAAATGGTCTAATATGTTGCATTTGCTCCATAAGATTACAGTATCAGCTCATCCTCAGGAGACCTCCTAAAAACTTTTTGGCAGGTGGTATCTGACCTCTTTGGCATTGCATGCACGTAATACTTTTCTTTCCGACATCTGTTGAAGGTGTGGGAATGAGATGGGTAGCTTATTGCATATCTGGTGGAAGTGTGCCCTGGTGCCCCCTTTTTGGAAGCTATTTAAGGAACCCCTGCAGTTTGAACTCACGGCCCTCCTCCATCAAACTCACGTAGAGGTTGTCTATCCCATGCCTCCTCAAAGCAGACAAAACAGTTCTACTATTGACCAGGCGGGGGTCTTGCACTCCTTCTTTGGCACCTGGAATATAGGAGGTAGAAGAAATCCGGCAGTTTTAGGATATGGCGGCAGACACGCTGAAGGCCAGGGAATGGTATACACACAGGTATTGACTGGATTTCCTCTCCTCATTGGAAGCTGAGGTATATGTTAAAGAGGTGGGACAGATTTGGAGACTCCCACGTGCAGTTTCGTGAGTGATTCCGGAGGAGGGGTGCATTACCGGGGTGCTCTAGGACACAGGGCCATCTTTTTTTCCCTCCCTTTCCCACGGAACCTTGAGCAACTCCTGGAGTCTTATCACATTCATAGCCTATTAGTCTATTTATATTTTGTTTTCACAACTCACTCGAGCTCAGATGGTGATATTCTTTCTTCCTTACATTACAATGTCCCATTTACTTCTGGGTATATAAAACCTCAAAATTAAGAGAAGAAAACATGTATTGGTTTAGACATCCATAAATAATAGAAAACTAGATAAGAAGACCTTTAACTAAAATTCCCAGAAAGCTTGAAGATACGCAAAACATTAAAAGAATTTTTTATCATATACAAATAATATATCCAACAATACATTACTTTCACTGGATACATTTCCCACCTAATAAGTTTCTACTATCTCTTTTCCTTTCAATCTTTTTTAATGTGCACAATCCGGAAATATATTTTCTAGGTAGAAGATACTATGTTTATAATTGAACGGTACTTGGTAGATCTCACATCAAGAAAAATATGCAGGTTAGTGTTGGCAGCACAAGATTTAAGATAAGAAAGTTAGACAAAACATTTAGAAAGAATTAGTGTTAAGTGATTGTTTAGAATAAGTGATTTTTGGTACAAATTAGACCTGAGTAATGATCTGAGTGTTTATAACAGTATAAATTGTGATGTGATTAGACTTTTTTTGGATATACAAATCAAAAAATGAAATAAAGGAATCACGCTTGACTTGTTTCACACGGCACATGCCATGTCAAATTGTTTGTAATTCATTTCCTGGTACATAATTTTGGGTAATCTTGTCCTGACAGTTTCTTATCTCCTGCACTCTTATCTCTGTGTCAGCAATCCTCCTAATTGCATTATTTAACTTACCCACAAACCACACTTTAGTTTGAGATTGTTCCCAGTTACATATTTCATCCAATTTTATAGGAATAATATAACAGATTAATGCCACTATACAGCCTGAGGATACTTGGAGAACAAAATAGTAAAGTCAAAATATGAGGAAGGGATACACTAAAATTACAAAAACATTTGTACAACAAATGGGAGGGGTGGGAGGTTATTCGTAATATTCATAAAGCAATAATGAGTGCAGCTTTGCAGCTTGAAAACCCATTTGCAAAATTAACTAAATAATTTTGCATTGAGTGTTGCAAGTCCCGTGATAATATTAGTTGTCACTGTGTAGTCAGTAGATTCTATTCCATTATGTCTCCTAGGATTTGATAAATCCTGGTGGCTACTAAATACAATGCTTTTATATATATTCAGTTTAAATTTGCAATGCTAAATGTGAACAAAAAAATGAATTGAACACAATATTTACAACAGAACTCCAACAGCCACTCTTGTCCGCAGGTTGATCTTTTGGAGCTTGGAGGAAACTATGAAGAAATGCAGATCCTAAAGTCATGCCAACTAGAAAGCAGACCAGCTTAGCATGGGAACAGAACTGAGAAATAACTACATCCAGGACTGTTTGTGTGCCCTGAGGAACCACTACACTAAGAGACTAAAGTGAAAACTAAAGGCTAGTATAAGCCTTCCTAACCAACATTTTCTGCCCATCTCTTGGGATGGAGGTGGGCAGGGGAGTGTGCAGGGGCCCAGGGTGCTTGCTGGAGGTCAAAAGGTGTGGGTATGCTGCCAAAGGGAGCGTTCCCACCTGGCCAAGGGGAATGCGTAACCCTAAAGAGTGTGGCCAGAGTGACTGACAATCTGCCTCCTCCAGCAGACCATACACGGGGCTCTGCTAAAGTGCTATTTGCATGGTCCTAGTGCCCAATCCCATCCTGTATTTTGAAATCTACTGTCAGATTTAAAAATGCATCACAGGACCCAGGACCAAAATGTCACACTGTCCTGACAAATTCAGGACTGTTAATACCTATGAGATAAGCAGCTTAAGCAATATCTTACTGGCTCGATAGATCGGCACACAGTTTGTGTTAATCAGGCAGATACAGCACAACTAAGGGAGTGGGTCTTGACAGAGCCAGGAGGCAGGCATAGCAACCAGTTTAAATGAAGTGAGAGTTGGTGAGTTGGGGTGGGGTTTTATCAGTAGTATATATAGCGGCCATTTTATGAAGTGCTCATTTTAACTAAACCTAAACATACCTGTTAGCTGTCCCTCCCTCCCTCCCATTTGTTGCTAGTTGTTTTTTTTTCCCATTTCATTCACAGCGGCGGGGAATGGACAGGTTAAATCTGGGGTAGATGGAGCAGAAAATGGGCATGCTGAGGTTTAGTGTGGATTAGGCAGTGTTTCACTTAGTTTGTAGGTTCGAGCTCGACAGTGGTTTTGGTGCAACTCTACAATTTATTCCGATGGAAATGTGGCCATTTGGTCGGCCAGGTTATGTGTTATCTGTTAGTTATATTGTTATTTATTGTTATTATTGTGGGGTTATTGCCAGGGGTAAGTTATGTATTAGGTGGGCTGTTGATTTTAATAAAATATTTGTTGGCAATGACTCTATTTTGTTATACCTTCATTAATTATTAATTAACAAAGCTGTGGACTAAAATTTCCAACAGTAAAACCTGTGTGAGTGTTTTAATGGGGTTCAGGGTAAGGTTAGCGTCTTGCCGGAGATCTGACTGTGCGCATGTCATGGTAATACGTGAATCATAGTCAGGAAATCTCACGATTACATTGAATAAGACAGACAATATACATTTGAATTGACCAGTAACAGTACAATCAAACTGTGAAAAAACACATTGGATTAGACTGACTAGGCCATAAACTCTTCAGTCAAAACGCCTTGTTTTATAGCTGATGTTTATACTTATTTTTCAATCTCCATTAGTCATTGCCATTGTTAAGTAATCATTGATTGCAGTTTATCTGCATATATGATTTCACTGATATTGATTTCTTCTTATTTACAATGTAGTTTGATCTACTGACAGTGAGACTCATTCTAGTGCATTTTTCTATGCACATTTTTATATATTAACAAAACAAACCAAAACAGTTACCTGCCTGCTGACTGAAATCCCAGTCTCTATTTCATACTATGTAAAAACATTGCAGTAGCCATTAAAGTGGCTCAGTCATCTGCTAAAATCTGACTATGCTACTAACAGTTATTCTCTAAATAGGGCACACATGAGGTGGGCAGCTGCACCACAACAAGGTGTATTATAAAAGCAAATGAAAACAGAAACTAGCCCTGTGTTTAAACTCCCACTATTCTTAGGCAACAGCCCTTGGCCACTACACTTGGGCAATATTTGTCATCCAACTATATAAAGATTTTTTTTAATTTCCTGCACGCTATCCTAAATCCCTATGGACATTTAAATAACAGAAGTTTTTAATACCACTGCAATGGCCATTAAAGGAACACTATAGTCACCTGAAAAACAACAGCTTTAGAGAAAATGTAGTGTTTACATTGCTACCTAGGGACACCTTCAGTGGCCACTTCTCAGATGGCCACTGGAGGTGCTTCCTGGGGTATGCAAAGAGATGCTGACTGGCTAAGCCGGCATTTGGCCCCGCCCCTGCCCCATCTCCTTGATGATCTAAGCCAATCCAGGGGTTTTCCTATGGGAAAGCATCGGATTGGCTGAGATTATCAATTCTGAAAATGTCAGCCAAGGAGGCGGATCGGGGCCAGTGGTGTTGGGAATAAGAAAAGTTTTCTTACCTTTTAAGGGAGGCAAAGGGGCTTTTAGCTAAAAGGTAAAATGTTTACTGAGATAAAAGTGGGTAATCTTATGAATCCTTACATACTAATTAATGCTAATTCATGGTATATATTGGCTGAGCAGCTGAAAGATGAAAAGGTGTTTTATTTGCTTTTTTTTTACACTTGACATTTGAGCTTACACTTTAATGTCCATTGCAGTGGTAATAAAAACATATGTTATTTAAATGTGCATAGGGATTTGGGATTTGCACATGTAATAATTTTGGTTTTGTATGTACGTTTGGTCATGCTGCCACCCAAGAGAATTGGGAGTGTGAGCACAAGGCTTATTTCTGTGTCGATATATTAACGGTTGAATAAGCAGATTGTTAATATGACAAAGCATTGGTGAATCCACACACTATTTTATAATCCAACAATGCTGTTGGTTACTGTTACCTCTCACATCATTATATGGAAATTGCAAGGCCATTTCAAACATTTAGTTGCGCAATGTACTTGGCAAGTAATCATTAATAATACTAACTAAAGGAAGGGAGGGGAAGAAATACGATACATTGAGAAATTCCCTGCCCTTTAATTATTGGTGGTTTCAATGCTTTCAGCATTCAGACGCCTCTTATAAAGGTTTTTCTAATGAAGCAATGGAAAAATATGAATTCACTACACTGGGTATTATGAAAAACTGGGAAAAGAATGGTAGATTTTAGGGCAAAATAAATCAACTGAATAAATAGCTGAGTTTAAGTTTTTTTTTATCTCAATTTGACTATTTTGGTCTACATTTTTCAATTTCCTTATCGATTTCTAATTTATTGAATAAACCTCTTAATAAACATAATAAACTCCTTAAAATAGCCTGGAACATTTTGGTACATCTGGGTTTTGATGTGTTTCTGCATATCATCACCCTTCTTGTGTTATATTATTCTCCTGTTCCTCTATAAGTTGGAGAGAGATTTTTTACCGCACCTACAAAAAAGGAAATTAAAGATATTTTAAGCACAGTTCTTTTTTTCTAATAGATCTATCCGCACTTTTTTTTTTTTTTTTTTTACCAACTGTTAAACTAGCAGAATTCACAAATCACAGATCAGAAAGGAAAATAACAACTTTATCCTGAAAAAAAGTCAGACAAATCCATCATTTACTGACACATAAAGCATCCTTGATACTGATTGGTTATCAAGTGTACAATCCAAGATTTTTCTGAAAAAAGAAATTTGTTCTTAATTGAATGAGTTGAGGAGCTAACATTGCATACTGTCAGAGCAGATAGGTTTTTTTTTTTGTCTTTTTAGTAATACCAAGGGACTGTGACTTGGCATTTGATCTTCTAAGTCCGATGTTGTGAGCTACATGTCCCATAATGATCTTTTTGTGCACTGCATGAATAATTGATTAAACAGAAAGTGCTTCCCCAGCACTAAAAACCATATACAAGAATAAAAAAATATATAAAACATACACCCAGCGTATATGTATATAGATACCTCTTCTGGTTATGTGTTCTGTAACTTGAATTTTAAAACTCTTGCCAACATATCAAAAACCACATTGGGCACCAGAGCAGGTCCTTTGTCTTGGGAAGAGAAGGATAGTCCTCAAGTCTGAGTTGGAACCTTGGGGCTTCCTATACAGAGCCTGGTACAGTTCTCAGCCATATTAATTGTATTATATATTGGAGCCAATTGATCACATCTCTTGGATTTTAATTATTTTATGTATCTATATACATATACACTGGGTGTATGTTTTATATGTGGATTTGTATTTATTTTTGGATAATACTGGCAAAGCATCAGGGGAGATGTAGTCCAAAACATCTGGAGTGCTGAAGGTTCCCTACCCCTATTCTAAGTTTTGTCTATTTCCTACTTCCTATCTCAGGTTAATATATTGTGACAGTTGGGTTACTATTGACGAGAATTTTTGTAAGCATGTATGGTTAGAATATTATAAGAGCGTTGTCGTATTTAAAATAATTTCCCAGTTATTTTACAGCTAAACTTTATATTACCATACGTTCCATTTTTTCATGGTGAATGACATATTGCCAGAGACAAATTAAAAGAATAGAGTATTTTACTTTGTGGTACAGCTAATACCCCTCTAGGTCCATTTGATGAGAATATTACATATCTCGGTTACCACTGCTCTGCTACAGGTATGGCAGCATTGGAAATATGGCTAAATGAATGGCAATGACAAATATTTACTGCTGTGCTATCTATTTCCTAGTTCTGCATTAAGATTTTTTTAAATTATCTGGCATAAAATATATATAACATTGCAGCTTATCCTAATTTTCTTTTCCTGACCATTATACATGGAAGCATTTACTCATTGGGTTAGCTCCTCCCATCACAGCAGGAAGAACAGGAAATAGAATCTTCAAACTGGTATAAATAGATCCGTCCCCCTTCCCATCAGGCAGTCTTAGTAACTAGCTTCACAACTCTCATAGTAGATGGGAGAGAACGTAATGCTGCCATGATTAATTATCAGGAAAATAAAATTACGGTAAGTATGAAATAATTTTCCATAATTCCGGATCAAACATGGTAGAATTTACTTATGGGTAATACCCAAGCAGTATATATAGAGGGTGGAACAGATTTCCAATACCTCCAACAGTTATAAAAAGCATTATTGATCTGCATAAACCTAACCGTATCAAAAGCCCCCAAAAAGTAATCAATACGGTATTGTCATAATATCTGTTCAGACAATTCATTGTACCCCAGAGGCTGCTGGTCTCTCAATTGCACCTCAAACTGTATATGGACTGTTTGATATGGTAATAGTAAATTACAGGAAACTAATTACCCAAATAGGGGATATTATTAGGCAACAGTAAAAAGGAGCACATTATTCAGATAGTAGTGAAATAATAACATGATGAACCATACAAATTGTGGCAACTACTAATTATAAGTAGGTAATTAAGGCCAACAATATCAGATTGGAATGAAAGTGATTAGATACTGTTGATCAATATACTTAGGTAATGTATATCAAGTAGGACACCAATGAAAAGGTGGTAACCAGAGGCACAAGATACATTGTGGCAACAAACACATAAATGGGCAGAATTGCCGAAGATATTCAATTGTTCGTATGAGAATGAAACAACCACGTACTTACACTGACCTTATCTTCAGACAGTGATTAAGGACTTACGGCAAAGCCTATGCTGATTTTATGATCCTTGTGCAGCTGTTTTTTCTGCAAAGATATTAACACCAGTCCAAGCATATAATTCACAATACTACATCAATGGAATGTCAGGAATGAACATCATGTAAGCAGATCTAGGTACAGAGACCATGTGAAAAATGTCAGACAAATGCATCTTATCCTGAAACATGAGTGTGGGTGGAGAACTCTAATTAAGGCAAAAAGCAGCTTGTTCTCTTATCTTCTTCATTTCAAAAACTGAAGTAGAGAATGCACAGTTTGTAATAGGTATTTACCCAGTGCAAAATACATGGAACTGGGCTCATACTGGGCTCATACACAGATCTTATATTAGTTGCATGTTAATTAAGGCTGTGTTTACACAGGTCTTCATGCACAAATTATATCAATCCCATATACTGGAGCAGTGACTAACAGCAACCCATACTCAGAACTTGTGCTGGACATGTATACTCGAGCTGTCTCTACAACAGCTTGTACACAAAGATTATATCGGACTCATATATTGAGGCTGTGTCTTCCAACTACCTTATACATAGAGCATATAGTAGACACATTTACTGAGACTGTGTATGCAAATCAACATATACATAGAGCATAGAGTGGACACATATACTGAGACTGTGTATGCAAATCAACATATACATAGAGCATATAGTGGACACATATACTGAGACGGTGTAAGCACGTCAGCTTATACATAGAGCATACAGTGGACACATATTCTGAGACGGTGTATGCACATCAATTTATACATAGAGCATTTAGTGGACACATATACTCAGACGGTGTATGCACATCAACGTATACATAGAGCATACAGTGGACACATATACTGAGACGGTGTATGCACATCAATTTATACATAGAGCATACAGTGGACACATATACTGAGACGGTGTATGCACATCAATTTATACATAGAGC